TAGAATGAAAGAGGAATTCTTATATTCCCTGGAGGTTTTAATTTGTTCCCATTGCTTTTTCATACACAGGATATGCTCAGTGGCAACACTGCGGTGATTGCAGAAACAGGGGACTCGTGGTTCAATTGTCAGAAGCTGCATCTTCCTGAAAACTGTGGGTAAGCTAGACTCAACTTTATTCTAAATTGTGCTTGCGGGGGAGCAAATTGAAAATTATCAAAAATAGTTGATGTCTGGTTGTACCTTTGTCCCTTTTCTTTATAATAAACTTCCACTTTTTGTTAAGATAAGTGTATTCAAATACTTGCAGGTTTGAATTCCAGATGCAATATGGATCCATTGGATGGTCAGTAGGTGCCACTCTCGGCTATGCTCAAGCTGCTAAAGACAAACGTATCATTGCTTGCATCGGTGATGGAAGCTTCCAGGTCAGTGTTCATATTGGTTGTGAACTTCTGATCATATTCTCAAGATTGTTGTCATTTTCCTTCTGATCGAGATGTGTTAGCATTAGAAATAATTTTTTTTGTTACTTCAGCGTCTACAACAGATTCTGTTTTTTTGCTCTCTAGCTAAACTACACAAGGGATTAATGACATAAGTTTGATTCATTCTTCTCCGAAATAACTTCATAGGAAAGAATGTACTTTCACTGTCATTGTTTTCATAAGTGAATATGAGAAACGGAATTGAGAAAGCTCACGCTTATCTGCCTTAAAGGTTACTGCTCAAGATATTTCAACCATGATAAGATGTGCACAAAAGAGCATTATATTTCTCATCAACAACGGCGGTTATACCATTGAAGTAGAGATTCATGATGGCCCATATAACGTGATCAAGAATTGGGACTACACTGGTCTTGTGAATGCTATCCACAATGGTGAAGGCAAATGTTGGACAGCAAAGGTCAGTATTTCTGAACACATTGTAACATCTTCCCTTATTGCAATTCGAACTGTTCTCTGTGTGACATGCACCTCAGAAACTGATGGGAAAAGTGATTGCAGGTAAAGACAGAAGAGGACCTGACCGAGGCAATAGCAACAGCAACAAGCACACACAAGGACTCCTTGTGTTTCATAGAAGTCTTTGTGCACAAGGATGATACTAGCAAAGAGCTTCTGGAATGGGGATCACGTGTTTCTGCAGCTAATGGTCGTCCTCCTAATCCTCAGTAGCAAGTCCAAAATAATATACCAGATGAAGAACATGGATTTCGGTGAGCAGCTGCCCAAGGAAAAGGCTTAAGAGTTTGAATATAGTTATCTCCTGCTTTTGTATTCTAACCCAGAATTGTCATCGTCCATAAAATGTACAACAAATGTCCAATCTTGTTTGTACAAAATAAGAAAACCATCTTCTGTAATTTCTCAACACTATGAGATTTCAAGGATTTGCCCTTATATAACCACTAGTTTTTGGACACGTGCATCCTGTGTCAAATAGTGTAAACTATAAAAATCATATTATAGTGTAATGGTGAAAATTTTGAAGTAGAAAAGTAAGTTAAAATTGATGAACAGGTCTATTCGAATGACTACATCATAAAATTGCATAGATATTATTGAAAAGTATTTTTGAGTTGTAAAACAAAAATTAAAGGAAAAAGTACAGTTGTCTAATATCGGGTATGATTGTTACTTTCTTGCCCCAGGTCTATTCAAATGACTACATCGTAAAATTGCATAGATATTATTGAAAAGTATTTTTGAGTTGTAAAACAAAAATTAAAGAAAAAAGTACAGTTGTCTAATATCGGGTATGATTGTTACTTTCTTGCCCCGCCCCACTACCAACTCAATAAATGAATTTTCCTTGCCTTTATTTGATTTAGAAGATGAGACAAAATAGTGTAATGTACTAACTTGTATTCATATTGT